ACCCCCTATCTCTCTGACCTCTCTCCTCAAAACATTACCCGTTGCCTTCGTTCCTCCGGGTCTGGCCTCCTCCTCGTCCCCCGAGTCCTCTGCTCCACCCTCGGTAGCCGTGCCTTCAGCCATTATGCCCCGAAGCTCTGGAATTCTCTTCCTCACTCCTTTTGCCTCGCTCCCTCTCTTCCTATTTTCAGGTCCCTGCTGAAGACCTTTCTCTACGACCGTGCCTTTGGTCACCTTCCTCCCCATCCTCCTGGCTTGGCCCTGGGATCCGTTACTGTGAAGCGCTCTGAGACGCTGTCCGGCGTGGAGGGCGCTATATAAATCCAAGATGTTCTTGTCGTCATCTGCCCATCCAGGTTCTGTCCTCAACTGGTCCCATGCTGGTTAGTTTATCATGAGTAGTACCTTGGAGTATTGTGGATCTGTCTGGCTCAGGATCCAGACTACCAGGCCCGTCACAGAGGATCAACTCAATTTCAGTGTTCCATTAGCGGGCACATTGCCTTGGAGCTAACTTATCCCCAAGGGAACACCACTTACTACCCCTCACCCCCTGAGGATAATCATTAGTTGTTATTAGACATCTGATGGGCAACAACAACTTGCACTTATATAGCGCCCTCCATGCAGGGTAGCGTCTCAGAGAGCTTGACAGTGACTCCAAGCCGGGGAAAAGGGGGGAGGAGGCCGTAACCACGGTCGAAGAGGAAAAGCAAAGGTTTGGATTAAATCACTAGATGGATAGTGGATCCCATGAACTGCTTGTGAGCCTCTTGGTGAGCAGCACAACTCAGTATAAGTTGTCCAGGTTGTGGGCAGGAGAATGGTGGCAATGCATGAGAGCACAGAAACGGACATTCCCATATCAAGTGTGTAAACCTGGCTTAGTAATTAGCACTCTTGCCTCTGAGCAGAAGGTTGTGGGTTAAGCCCCACGTTGGAACTAGGAACTCACATAGTCTAAGCTTCCACTCCATTGGACTTCTTGGGATGTGCTGCATTGTTGGAGGTACTGATGAGATGAGATGTTCAGGTTAAAGATCCTTTGGCACTATTTGAAAAGAGAGTTGTTCTGGCTAATACTTCCCCAAATAAAACTGGTGATTCACTTCATGACTTCATCTGTGGGACGTGGCTGTGTGAAAAATTGGCTGCTGCATTCGCCCACTAAACAGTCAGTCCACTTTACAGTATATCCTGTGAAGTGCTTTGGGACTTCCTCCCAACGTAAAAGGCCCTATACCAAATGTAAGTATTAGTATGTCAGTGTATTTTGTCTGCATATCAGCTACCTGATCAATTCACATTCTCTTCACTCCCCATAACTTTTAATATTCTCTTTTTGAAGCATCCACTTCTCTTTTAAAATAATTGACACTGCCTCAATTACAAGTTTTGACAAAGAAAAGCATGGATTGTGATAGAGAACAATTTAATTAAATCTCTGTTGCTTCCCATGCAAAAAAAATTCTATTGAATCTTCTTGATTCAACTCTGATTGAGTTGGATGATATTTAAATAATTTTTTTGATTAGTTTGGACGATTGTCAGCACACTAGAAAGTAATGCCTATGGAGAAAGCGGAAGGTTTTAAATGATTTTTTTTACTTCTTAAAAGTGGTTGCAATTAAGGAATTGATATATTTCTGAAAGCTTCTCAAAGTGCTTTCACAGGAAATTGTTGTTTAATGTTATAACTATTTGCAAGCAAAGGCAAACAATGATTTATGCACAGCAAAGTTCCACAAACAGCCATCAAGTGAATGGCCAATTTATTTAGAGGAATATTGGCCAGGACTTTTTCAATGGTGTTGTGGAATCTTTAATGTCCGCGTAACGAAGCAGATGGCCCCTTGCTTTAACAGCTCATTTGAAGGACAGCATCTCCAACAAGCAGTGCCACCCCCCCTTCCCCAAGTACTGCACTGTTGTCCCAATCTGAACTCTTGAACCAAGTTCCCAACATAGTGTTTCAATGCAAGGCTTTCCAACCCTGTGACAAGTGGTACCAACTGAGCCAAACAAACACTTTAATGCATTTGACTTTCTGCCATTATTGCTGCTCGGAAAATTAAAGTGTATGATTTGGAACACAGCGAAACAATGTCAAGTTGTTTAGTTAGATTATTAACTTGCACAGTAGTGGAAATTTAATTGATTTCTATTGATGATATGTAACTGGGGGAAATGGACGCTTGATAAAATAGAGATATCATTTTAAAATGTGGGAAGGTCTTTTGATAAGGGCAGAACATAAAGTCCCAACTTTAGTACTTGTCAAACTTGTAAAAGTTTGCAACTTTATTAACTATGTAGGTCTGATTCAGATTCATTTTAATGAAGTTTTTATTCTAGTGAAAGAATTGTGAAATTTTAATGAATTAATACTGGAACACAAGGAACCACAGGAAGGGGGGGAAAAAGCATGGTCAAGTGCAGTATGAAAGGTTAGATTTACAATTGGGTAGAAATTATCAAATTGTTATAGTGTTAACCACTTCAGCAAAAGTTGGTAAAATGCTAATTGGACTGCAAACAAATTAAAAGCAATGCCAGCTGAATACCAAAAGCTTCCTAGAAAATCTCTCCACACTTCACAGTATCGTAGCTTTTTCTACAGACAAGAATAAGGATGATCCCTACTCCTTACCTGAGGATGTTCAAGAATCTGGTAAGTCATAGAATAATTTACATGTGTTTTGCAACCATAAATATATAATATTGCAAAATAAAAATGGCTATTTTATGCATGCCCAATATAGCCAAGGTAGCAATGTTTTCCAGCAATCTTGCATCCATCCTCATTTGTGTTCCCAGTAATTTCTTTTCGCTTTATCTCTGCAATAGCGTCACTGTACCTGTCACAGAAATCATTAGCACAGTTCAAAGCTAAATGATGTAAACTGTCTTCCCAGATCAGCCTACGAAATGCACCCAAGAAGGAGCCCCTCACCATTTGGACATCACCAAGTGAGGAAGGCATACATGAGAAGTCTTCCAGCAGGATGAAGATCACCAGTAACTATCACATGCCCAACATCAATTCTTGTAACCTGGCTGGCAAGTAGCAGGTGGAAATATCAAGACCAGTTCCTAAACAAGATATCCTCTAGTTTCTAGAATGAGAATTGAAAGGTTGCAGAACAAAATAAGTCCATCAGCCTGAGAGGACATGTACTTCTCACATTGTACATACTTTGAAGGAGGCCTTTCAGTTGCTGAATGAAATAGTACAAAGTATCTCTGCTGCTTGGTGATAAGGGAACAAACATCCAGATGTGTTTTGACGCGACAGTTGGTGGAACAGGTTGTTTTTCAACTCTGTTGACCATACTGCTGAAAAATCAGGAAGGATATTCTGTTTAGGTTCATAACGTGGCCATTAGAAGCTCTGGCAAATAATGGTTTGTAGACCATTGAGAATTCTCTGAAGGTCACCAACTGGATGGGAAAATGAACATGAAGGGCCAACAACCTAGACCTTCGATTTGTCCTTGGGCTGATAATGACTATGGATCCAAGATCCTCCGAATAGTTGATCCTTCATTAATACCGTTCTAAGTTCCATCAGAAGAGGGGGAGAAAATAAAGAAGCATTTTCTCTGGTGGAGCTGGATATAAATGATGGATATAAATGGTCTTCAATGCTGAAATTTAATTTTTTATTCATGGGTTGTATCTTTTGCGCTAACTACGGTATCTACAATGATACTGGCAAAACTTTCAAAAGTCTTTCAATGATGTTCAAAAATATAATATGTCTGGGATTTTTGGATCTCAGTGGTATCTTACTGATCAATACAATTTATAGCGCCTTTTGCATCAGGAGGACATCCCAAAGCTGATCAGTTGAAATGGATTTATTAAGAGTTAATAAGCGGAAGTTGTGAACATATCATTAACTTGGCAGAGAAACTGTGATGATGAACTTCTTTCCTACAGGTTTCCTTGTGTGACTGTAGAGGCAAGGAATACAATACAGGGCAACCCCGTTTATAACGTATGCCTCAACCTCGCTTATAGTAATTTGAAGTGCAGCTTCCAGATTGACTGCCAACATTAAAAATTGTCACACTTGTGTTACGCTTAGAAAGTGACGTCAGCAGTGATCTGACAGCACAGAAAATCCACCCTTGTTTTTGCATTTTGCTTCTGAAGCAACCTCCAAGAGATTGAGAACTGCATTGTAACTAAGAACTTTAATAAATCTTTATAAAATCTTTATAAAACTAATAATAAAACCTGATTTGTGGTATTTTTGTGGACTAAATATGTGTTTTACATTTGTTATCTAACTACATATGCCTTTATCTGCCATTCTTGTGCTGTATTAGGCTTTGATAAATAAAATCTTGTTATAAACTCGCTGGGTTCCTTTACTCTCTTAGTTAAACTTTATATTTTATTCTCTTAAATGTATATATTCTGTACACCATTTACAAGCCTTAAGTGTCCAGTTCTACATATAGAGTACAGAAAATGAAAGGAAAAACACACACTTGTTTACATTATCTTCCAGGAACATTGGTAGGTAGAAATTCTACTGGGTTTTGATTTACTTTATTAACGTAACATTTCAGAGTGTATAAAATTTGGCAAATTGACAAATTGTTGAATTCACTTAACTATGAAGACAGTTTTCTAAATAATTAGTTATTTAAGAATTGGACACATTTTGGATGCTGTGAAATGCTAAATTAATAGACCTAGAATGAAATTCCACCCACAGGTTGCGAATATAAATGTTAACCGCAGTAATCAACATTCAAAGTCTTTATGTGCTCTGGGTGTTCAAATTAATATTGTTTTAGTTTATTTAGTTACATTTGTTTTAATTTAGCAGGACTGGTATAGTTCATTGGAATTGAATGTTTTATAAAATCTTTTTTTCCATTTTGTTGTGCCGAATCTTCCTCATCTAGGAAAGATTTGTGATGCTTGATTTCGTGGATAATGACCTTTTTTGAGAGATGTGACTTTCTTTTGTGTTTGTTGTGCAGCTAATACAAGCCCCCAGCACCATGGATCCTTCTAATCCTACCAATTACAGAGGGGCTCAACCATCTCCCACGGAAGGCAATGGGCACAGTGACAGTGAACGCCGGCGACAATTGGAGCGATTGAGTCGAGAGGAAGCATACTATCATTTCATCAATGACCTTAGTGAAGAGGATTACCGGTTAATGAGAGACGGCAACCTCCTTGGAACTCCAGGTAACCTTAAAACATTGTCTGAGAACCAGAATTAGTTATAAAAAAATACTTATGTTGGACAGCAAACTTTGTACATCAGATAAACTAGTTTTTTTTTAATGATCGTAATATACAGCTTTTTATATTCATTCCTTTTGTTTCTAGACCACAGCTCTCAGAAGAAGCACTGAATAATTTAAATCTAAATATAGTTAGCTGTATTGAGGGATCGTATGCACACATGGAAAATAGTATATACAAACAAATACTTTTCTCTTTATTTCTTTTCCTTCACCCAGGCATATTTGATATTTAGAGAGTTTGTTATACAACATCCAGTTGCAATGGGTGAATTTACTCGATTCCACCAGGGCCTTCTAATGGCTAAAAATTAGAATTGAGGAATTATTTGCCAGTGCAGTAGTTGGAACCCAATCATTTTTCTTAGTGTTTTGTTCATGTTGTCACTGCGGGACCTATAAAATCTATGATATTCACATTCTTGCTACCTTGATTGAATACTCTTTCTCCCGTTGTAATCTTTAATTTCTTTCATATTCTCCCATTTGTGAGGTTTACATTCAGTACTTGGTAATGTGCTCAAAGCACTCCTCTCCGCCCCCCCCTCCCCCCCCCCCCCCCCATTCTGAATGCAGAGATTGGAGTCTTTCATGATACAGTATATTGCTATCTAATTATGATTGGCTGCACCATTTAAGCTATATCATGCTCCATTAGAAAAAGAACCTTGGTTCCTCTGACATTGATGCTGTTTTCATATGATTGTAATTATCCCAGCTCTATTCCCGCCTGATGATATATTGTGGCCTCATTTTCTGCTTTTTACAGTGCTATACTATGATTTTGCGCAGCAGAAATTACAGTTACAGCTTGGGTAATTATTAAAGGTATTTATTACTGCACAAATGTATAAAATATCTTAATGTTACTGTCCAAGCTTCCTAAATCTTTCAAATTCAGAAATCAAACTCTGTTTATGCAAAATTATTGTGAATTCATCCAGTGTGTCAAAATGTTTTATTGCTTTAAAAATTCTTTCATAGTTTCCACTTAAACTGAGGAACAATCAAGCTTTATAGACAATAATAAACAAGGCAATGTTTCAGCTTTGATTTTTTTCCCTTCTCTTTCAGGTGAAATTACAGCAGAAGAACTGCAACAGCGATTAAATGGTGCTAAAGAACAATTAACAGAACAGAATGGACTCGGCAACCATGAACGTGGTAGTGAAAATCAAGGCGAGTTTTTGTTCTATGCGCTGAAAGGAAAAGTAGTCATTTAATGGTTCTCTCTACAGCAGTGCAAGAGCAGAGTGCTACAGCATTTATCACACAACATGCACAAGCTTAGATCAGCATTGATATTAATGAAGTTGAAAGTATCGATAATTTGGGAGTTGAGGGAGAGTACCGTATGACTAATGGAACCAGCGGACTCAAGTTTTGTAAGTGACTTCTGATCATCAACCTGGATTCACAAATTGAATGTTAAGTGTCACTATGTTGTCCATTTCTCTGTTTTTTAAAAAACAATCAACTGGGGACTTTTGACAAAACTAGTGACAGTTGTCTCCTCAAACCAAGATAACATTCAATTTCTAGCAGTTGAGACAATGACCTAGGTTGAAGCAGAAGGAGAAGTACTTCAAATTATAGTCCCTGGAATGTCAAATAAACCACTGGTTCAGCCATCATGTGATATTTTTCTACTGGTTCCCAATAGACAAAAGTTTTTTTTTAAATAGACTGGAGAAAGCTTGGAGCAAATGTTACACTATATTTTTAGTTTTCTCTCCTCTCCATTCACTCGGGGATCCTCAAAATCCAGCAAGTGCTTACCTTACTTAGTGTGATGTGCCTCCGTGATTGCCAAGAGTGCTATTTAGGTTAGCCACTAGGAGGTGTAGTAGTGCTAGAACCAACTAGTTTTCCTCACAGGAACATAGTAAATGTTAGTAAAAGGCAAAGGGCACTTTCCCTTTCAGATTGACTTCAACCCTCTTTCTCGGTGTTTTACAGTCCTCACCCACTACTTACTTACCTTTAGTCAATTCCCATTCGTCAAAAAATTCTTAATCATTTCCTGACCTTATTTAGTAATTTGTTTAATAATATTCCACAATAATTTATTCTATGTCTTTTTCCCCCTTTCAGTAAATGGTGAATTTCCCATTTGCCCCTTATGCCATCATTTGTAAATTATATCCCATAGTTTTGGAATATTTGGTCACTATGAAGAATTTTCTGATTCAGGTTTACAATTTTGAATGTTTCAATTGCATCTCTTTCATGGCTTCTTTTTTTTCCAATGTGCACAAACACGATTGTCTTCATGTTTCCTTGATACACAAGCTCTTGTTACGATTTTTCTTGTAGAAGCAGTATTTGTGAGCTTAATGCCCTGAAATCAGAAGTAGTGCCTGGAAGTCTCTCAGTGTTGCACAAATCCTTTGTTTTACATACTCTCTTATAGAAGTACATTAGAATATACAGCACAGAAACAGGCCATTCGGCCCAACTGGTTTATGCTCCACATGAGCCTCCTCCTGCCCTTCCTCGCTGAGTCTTCAAGCATAACCTTCTATTCCTTTCTCCCCTCTTGTACTTATCTAGCTTCCCCTTAAATACATCTCTGCTATTTGCCTCAATAACTCCTTGTGGTAGCATGTTACACATTCCCACTCATCTCTGTGTGAAGACATTTCTTCTAGCTTCCCTATTTGATCTATTTGTGATTATTTTATATTGATGGCCCCTGGTTTTGGTCTCCTCCACAAGTTGAAACATCTTCCCTATGTCTACCCTATCAAAACCTGTCAATTTTAAAGACCTTTATCAGGTCACCCCTTACCCTCCTTTTTTCAAGAGAAAAGAGTCCCAAGCATGTTCAGCCTTTCCTGATAGATGTAACGTCTCAGTGCTGGGATCATCCTTGTGAATCTCCTTTGCACCCTCTCCAGTGCCTCTACATCCCTTCTATAATGTGGGGACCAGAACTGCACACAGTATTCTAAGTGGGGTCTAACCAAGGTTCTTTAGAAGTTTACCATAACTTCCTGCTTTTCATTTCTATCCCTCATGAACCCCAATGCTTGGTTTGCCTTTTTTATGGCTTTATTAACCTACGTTGCTACTTTTAGTGAATTGTGTATGTGTACCCTAAGGTCCCTTTGCTCCTCTACCACATTTAGGTTTCTATTTTCCAGGATGAATGTGACTTCCTTATTCCTTCTACGAAAATGTACTACCTCACACTTTTCTACATTGAAATACATTTGCCATTTAAATGGCCATTCAGCAAGTTTATTAATGTCTTGCTGTAGTTTGTTGCAGTCCTCCTCTGTATTAACTACTCCCCCCAATTTGGTGTTGTCTACAAATTTTGAAATTGTACTGCTGATTCCCAAGTCCAGATCATTAATGTATATTGTGAACAACAGTGGTCCCAATACCGATCCTTGTGGAACACCACTGCCCACCCCCTGCCAGTCTGAGTAGCTATCCTTTACTCCCACTCTCTGTTTTCTGTTTTGTAGCCAGCTTGCTATCCGTTCTCCTATTTTTCCCCTGACACCACATGCTCTGACCTTATTCATTAGTCTATTATGTGGTACCTTATCGAACGCCTTTTGGAAATCTAAATATATTACATCTACCGCATAACCCTTGTCTACTCTTTCTGTTACCCCTTCAAAGAATTCAATGAGGTTGTTCAAGCATGACCTTCCTTTTTGAAATCCATGCTGATTATTCTTTTTTATGTTTTCCATTTCTAGATGTTTTTCTATTACCTCATCAGTAAAGATATCATTATCTTTCTTACCACTGATGTTAAGCTGACAGATCTATAGTTTCCTGGGCTTGTTCTATCTCCCTTTTTAAATATAGGTATAACATTAGCTATCCTCCAGTCCTCTAGGACGACTCCCTTTTCTAATGAATTATTATATGTGTGTAATGGCGTCTGGTTAATAACATAGTTGTCTGCTGGAGGAGGACCTCGAAGGGAAGAAATGATCAAATATAAATTACAGCTTCACATGTACTGGACAAACTCTGCATTTAAACTTAAGGAATTGATATGTAGATTTAAATTGCACCTATTCTCAAACCAATAATGCTGTATACTAGCTGTTGGACTCTATTGCTGTCTTTGCCTTTTTTGTGACCGAAGGCAAATGTACACTGTAAGAAATGTTTGTTTAAAAACAAAAAAGTAGTGTACTGTTTCTTTAAACTTTTCTATCGCTTTTAATAAGTCATTTGGTTTTGCCAAGGTATCATTAAGATGTTATATTCTATAATAGAAACGCTTCTTAACATTAACTTTGCAAAATCAATCCAGCTTTGTCTCGGCTTGAAAATAGGTCATTAACATAAAATGTTGTTCACTTCTATAGGTTCTGACATGCCGGGGGAAACCTCCAACAGTGATTCGCTTCTGGAGTGGTTGAACACATTCAGGCGCACAGGAAATGCCACTCGTAGTGGGCAGAGTGGGAACCAGACATGGAGAGCCGTTAGTCGGACAAATCCTAACAGCGGCGAATTCCGCTTTAGTCTAGAAATTAACATTAATCACGAGCATGAAGCCACTGGTGATCGGTCTTTGGATTCGCCTATATTGGAAAGTAATGCTGACACAAATGTACGAAATACCGAGCTACAAAGTTTGGGGGGTCCTATTGCAAATCACACCAGGAGTCGAACTCGAGCTCAATTAGCTGCTGGACTGGCAAACTCTGAAAGTCATTTAAGAGGGCCAATGAGGGGTGGAGGAGCAGAAGCCACGGAAAGTTCTTCAACCTTTGCTCAAAGGAGCATTCAAAGTGGAATTGCTGAACAGCAAAGAACCACCAGGATGTCCACTGGAAGCCAGAGAGCAAGAGGGCAAAATAGTGTTCAACAAAGAGCTTTAGGTGTTGTCGGTGAACAGCGGGTCAGCAGGCGAAGAACGGTATCAAGTAGCATCAGGATAATCGAAGAAGAGGAACAGAGAAGCAGAAGTGAGCCTGTGGTATTACCAAGAGATACCAGGACTGCCGTAAGAGACCACACTGTTCCTGGACACACAGAAAGGCGCAGATCTTCTCGGAACTTGCGAAACAGCCGAAGTCGTTCACCATTGCGTAGAACAAGTGTCACAGTAAATTCTCTGGACAGTTCTCTATTCCAGCAGCAGGATCAATCAGACCAGCGATCGAGTACCAGGAGGCAACGGGTCGTGGAGCATCCTACTGTGGCCACACAAGAAACACCAGTGACAGCAAGAGACAGTCCTTCCACGCCTTCTTTGGCAACTATGGATGAAGGAGATGTGAACCATTCCAATGGACCTTCTGTTGCTGTTCGAAGACACCCAACTATTATGCTGGATCTTCAGGTTAGAAGGATTCGCCCTGGAGAAAACCGAGATCGAGACAGCATTGCTAATCGAACTCGGTCACGTGTCCGTATGGCAGAAAATACAGTGACCTTTGAAAGTGACAGTGGTGGTTTTCGCCGTACCATTTCACGATCCGAACGTGCAGGTATTAGGACTTACGTTAGCACTATCCGCATTCCTCTTCGCAGGATATCTGAGACTGGGCTTGGCGAACCATCCTCTGTGGCCCTGAGATCAATACTTCGTCAGATTATGACAGGGTTTGGGGAGCTGAGCTCTCTAATGGAGAATGATTCAGATTCTGAGTTGAACCAAAGAGTTCACCAACATCCATCTGGTAGTTCAGATTCTGTAAGCTCACAGACCAGTGCAAACGTTAGTCTCTCCAGCCATTTGAGAAATGATTCGACCACCATGTTAACAGGAGACCAGTCAGCCGGGGATCAAATGGATGAAAGCATGCAGAATCCTCCCCAGGCTGGTGAAAATCGAGAGACCAGGCAAAGTCGAGACACCAATAGTTTAGTGGAAAACGGTACCCTGCCAATATTGCGACTGGCTCATTTCTTTTTGCTGAATGACGATGATGAAGAGGAGCACCAGCGGGGACTAACCAAAGAACAGATTGATAATCTTTTGACCCGAAACTATGGGAACATCAGTGCCGAGAGTGAAATCAGTAAAACCTGCAGCGTTTGCATTAATGAATACGCAGTTGGGAACAAACTCAGAAGACTGCCCTGCGCGCATGAATTTCACATTCATTGCATTGATCGCTGGCTTTCTGAAAACTCCACCTGCCCTATTTGTCGGCAGCCTGTCTTGGGGTCTAGTAATTAATGGGGGAAAGGTTTGTACACAAGCTTCTTGTCCATTTCTGAAACTTTAAAGCACTAAAAATCCTGAGAGATAGGAATTTTTAAAACAAATGTTATAGATTCTATTATAGAACCATGAAATACATACTTCTTGCTGAAGCTTTATTTTTTTAGACTTTTTTTTGTTGAGCTGAGCACTTTGTTGTCATTGGAATTATTGGAACTGAAGAAAGTGAACCAACCTGAAGTATATTATTGTACATGATTAATCATATCTAATACTCATTTTTGTAGGTGCAATTATGATTCTAATGTGCTCTTTTTGTTAATGGTAAGGGTACAGATTAACATATGCTAACTGTCATTGAGTATATGAATAGAAAAATCATCCAGTGATCAGGATTAATTTGTCCTTATTTTCCTTAGTTGATTAAATATATAATAAAACTTTACAGTGCTAAAAATGATCTTGATTTTCTGGATGTAAATCCACACAATTGTGAAGGATCGGACTGATTTGTCAAAGTACATTTGCTTTCGATATCATCTGAGGAGTGTTATGCCAACCTGACTAGAGAATGTCATAGTGGTGAATACTGTCATTTGAAGTACTTATTATAATATGATGTGGCAATGCAATTGGATTCTCCCCTCCCGCCCATGTACACATTCTGGAGCAATGTGATGTACAGATTTTTGGGGAGTCAGCCAGGTGTCTGACACATGTAGAATCCTACCACGTGCTTAAGAGTATGCAAACCAAACACCCATACCTGGAAATTTCCCTATGATTGGAATAGAATGTGCACTCTCTCCTTAAAGGGACGCTCCTGACTTAACTAATTTGGGAGAGGTTTAGGACCAGTTTGGCAAGAGCCAAGTTTGGAGAATACAGAACATCTACAGTAGTCCTTTGGCAAGAGCAAAGGCTTGGTAATACAAAATATACTGTAGTTCTACAATCATAGACTGACCTGCTTGAGCATAAAGGTTTTTGTCATCTCATGTATATTCTGTGTTTAATAATGGTACTGTAAAGCAACTTCATATCAAACTATATTTGGTGCTGTTATTTATTATAGCAAGACTTGCCAGTTTATGGATTTTGCTAGCAAGGTGCTATAACACCTCTCTGATCTCTGAAAGCATTGTTAATAGTTGCTAAGATTTTTATCCTTGGGAGATATTGAATGAGTGTGCAATACAATGACACCTTGATTGATCGAAAATAATTAAATCTTGGAAAACTGCAGGCTATCCTGTTGAATGGAAAACTGACTTGCAGAGACACGTGAGAGGAGGAGGAGTACAATTGATCGCTAGGGAGACCTTTATCCATCAAACTGATACCCGACAACTGAATTGTTTGTACTTATATAAAGTTAATGGCGCATTATATTGTGCAGCAGGTACATGTTCATAAACAATTCATTCCCTCCTGTGCTTCCTTTGTTCAGAGTATGGAACAATTAATCCAGCCCATGGACATCTAGGCTGGTGTGTTCTGCTGTTTAATTGATGCTGTTTGGTTATACTGGCATGATTTCTTAACCTGCGGTGTAGTTTTAATTATTTCATGTGCATCTTGTCATGAATAATTCTTTTTTATGAGGGTATAGAAGTGCCTAATGACTTAACAATTGCCTTTTCATATCATAAAGAAGTTTGTTTTCTGACAGATTAATTGAAGTAGTTCTCGAATACATTGAATTGTAATTTGTGTTAACTTTTGCCATTGGTATAAGTACAATAGAGAATGATGGTTATTAAGTTGAAATGTTTTATGATTCGCTTTTGCCTGCTGGTTGTAGCCGGTGACCATTGCTGAGGATAGGATCTGTCTCAGCTACTGCAATGGTTGCTCAGGCTCACACATGAATGGCAGCTCAAGTGAGATACCAGAGAAGGCTGCCAGCTGGTGTTTATGGAAATATACAGTAAGATGGGAAAGGAGCAAACTTCATAGTAAATTGCGTCAAGTCAAATGCTACTAGCTGTGATGTGTGTCCAGGATCCACAAATGTTGGCTTGTAAACTGTAAAAAAAATAGATGTTCAAAGTTCATAAATTTTGTAATCGCTGCTCTTTCTAAAATGGCTTAAGTTCCCAGTTTTAAAAAATGGGTTGTTAAAGCATTTGAAATTAAGAGGTGCCTTCACTTAATTTGCTTGTTTGTGGGTAGCTCCTTAACTTTTAATCAACTTTGCGACTATAATTATTTAGTTTACATGATAATTTTGCACACTTTTTGTTTTTGAGAACGTGAGCTCCATTTCTGATTTCTGCTCTCACAACCCCTCATCCAGCCATTTGCTCAGTAGTCACAAGTAAGTTTGTGTGGGCCTGGGGGCGAGAGGATGGCTAGATAAGAAGCCGCCAGTTTTGAGAAGGGGACAGGAGAGTTGAAACACCAGAGTCTGAATGAGGAAACTGGTGGGAACTCAGATGTCTGGTGCATATTAGAAATCTGAAAACTTAAATGTCTGCTTAGGGATGTAGAATTATATTAGAAACACTTTTTGAATAATGTCAAGAAAGGCTAATTAAAGAAACGCCAGTTAGTAAAATTAAACTTGAACTCGCTGCTTTGTAAAACTATTCATAATGCTCGGTACAATCAACAGTGTGCATCAAAATAGTGGAACCATTTCACCTTCAACAAGGTTCCACTTTAAATGAATTACATTTTACAACTATTCAAAATAATAATTATAATCATGCCTCCTTTCACATCAGGAAGACATCTCAAAGCGCTTTACAGGATAAACTGTAAAATGGAGTGACTGTATCTTGTCGGCATTGCAAAAATGATGCAATATAGGTGTTCCAAAATGTATTGGCATTACATCATTAAAACAGTATGGATCTATCGTTATTCTGTTTGCAGATATATAAACAGATCCGACTTTACGTTTGTCGAATTTATTTTCCTTTCACACTCTTAACTTATTGCATATAAAAAGCGAAATGTCGATCAAAAATATTTGTACATCACAATGCAGTAGAGTGCAGAATAAATCAATATAATACAAATTATGCTTGTTCAGAAGGTAGGACAATAATGAAGAGGTTGTGCTGCATTTTATGTTTTTTTTAGTCAACCACCTCTCTGATACATGTGGAAACCCATCACCACACTTAAGAATCCTGCAGATGTCCTGCAGGTGATGCTGCTTGTGCTATCAGCAATGCCCTGGAGTAATGCACACCCACCTGGCTGTAAAGTGTAGAGATTTTTATTTTTTTAGGCGAAAGTAACCGAAAATCCATCTAGCAATATCCCAGAAACATCCCAGGAAGTGAATGTACAGTTTTATCGGGGAGGGAGGAAATTGTTGGCCAGGACACTGGGACAAACTCGTCTTTTGGAATGAGGGATTTTCAACCTCCACCTGAACAGGCAGACTTGGTTTAATGTCTCATCTGAAGTGGGGCATCACCCCCAACTGGAGTGTCAGCCCAGAATATGTGAGTTCTAAATCCCAACATGGGTGTTGAATCCACTACCTTCTGACTTGGAGGGAAGAATGCTACCAACTGACCCAGGTTGACAATTATCGGACAATGATTTAAAATGTCAATACATACAGTGCTGTTTAAGTGCTTTTCTATTTAAAAGGTGTGATTACAATCATCGTACTGGAAGTGCAGAATGCTCTTTTGTGATGGTCCACTATCTTCTTAAGTAATTGTTATAGGAAAACAGGAACCAGAAGAGGTCATTCGCTCTTTCCCATTAGTTTATTAGACCCTACCATCATCCAATAGCATCAAGTCATTTCTTAAATGAGTGGTTTTAACCACCCTATCAGACTCATTCCAGCTACTGATTACACGCCCGCTATTAAAAAATATACATTGTTTATCCTCTTTGCAACACTGAACCTGGCATCTCTTGTCTTGCTGACTTGAAGTAATTGAATATAGTGTTACAGGTTTACTTTCTCTATTGCATTAAGCATTCTTTCATTCCTCTAGTGTCCACTGTGAGATAATAATAACTTGCATTTGATGCAGCGCCTTATCACGTCTTTGAGACATCTCAAAGTGCTTCACAAAATATACTGTAAAGTGAATTGACTGTATTTTGTGGGTGAAACATGGCAGCCAATCGCACTTTGTCTTTTTGAAACTTTAAAAAGTCCAGGTTTAATTAGGTATTTCTCATAACATTTTACAATGGAGATCAGCCTTGTTCCTCTCCTCTAATCTAGCTACTTGGCCCCTTAAATTGGAATAACCAGCATAGTTATGTAGTACACAAGGTCCAGCCTAACAGAATACTTTGCAGCTTGAGCTTTATCCCTGGTAGTTTCAAGTGAACTGACTTTAATGAATCATGTTTCTGCCCTACATTATTTAGACATGATTTGCGATGAGCCAACTAAAACAAGGTTTCTTAAAACCTTCATTTTGACTTGTTATTATCCCATCCATCAAGTTCATGTCTCCTATTTTTTTATTTCAATACATATTTCCTGGGATTTGCCAGTAATCGCTCAAAGTGCATTTTCCTAAGATCTTGGCACTGCCTCCTCTGATTTTTTTATTTTATCTCCCGCACTCCCCATTTAATCTGAAAATTTAAGTAACTTGCATTGAATTTGCCAATAAGTGAGGTATTCGAGGAACAGGAATATTTACAGCAAAGACCCCAGCGTACTGACTCAGAAATTCCAGTTGTGTTCATCAAATAATCCCTTAATTTGCTAGCTAGATATCTAGTGAAGCTCAGTGGTTAAGAATTGCTGATCAGACTAGACAGAATAGAATTATATAGCACAGAAGGAGGCCATTTGGCCCATTGTGCCCCTGCCAGCTCTTTGAAAGAGCTACCCAAATTAATTTCACTCCTCCACTCTCTCCCCATAGACTTGCAAATTTGTCCGCCCCAAATATCTATCCACTTCTCTTGAAAGTTGTTATGGAATCTGCTTCCACCACCCTTTCAGGCAGTGCATTCCTGATCCGAACAACTCGCTGTGTGAAAGAATTTCTCCTCATTTCCCCTCTGGTGCTTTTGATAACTATCTTAAATCTAGTTGTCAATGGAAACAGTTTATCCCTGTTTGCATAATTTTGAACACCTCGATTAAATCTCCCCTTATCTTCTACTCCAAGGAGAACAGTCCTGGCTTCTCTAGTCTCTCCACATAACTCAAGTCCCTCATTCCTAGTGCAGTCCTGATAAATCTTGCAGCTTCTCCAATGCCTTGACATCCTTCCTAAAGTGTAGTGCCCAGAACTGAACAGTATGCTAGCTGAGGCCTAACCAGCATTGTATAAAGGTTCATCATGAACTCCTTATTTTTGTATTATAAAGCCAAGGATCCTGTATGCTTTTTTAACATAATTATCTACCTGTCCTGCCACCTTAAAAGAATTTCCTTATATGAACCCCCATCACCCCCACCGGTCTTCCTGCTCCTGCACCCCCTTTAAGATTGTACTGTCTAGCTTATATTGCCTCTCCTCAATCTTTCTCCTAAAATGCATCACTTTGCATTTCTCCGCATTAAATTTCATCTGCCATGTGTCTGCCCATTTCACCAGTCTGTCTTAAATCTTCCTGCAGTCTGCTAATATCGTCACCTTTTACTACTTTTCCTAGCTTTGTAGGTCCTTGCAGATAGCTGTAGGTTCCAAATGTGGTGAGTCTTCTCAGTCCTTCATCCTTTTGAATTTGATTTCCAAGTGTCTGCATTTCAACAGCATGAGTGAATTCACTGTTCTGAACAAATTTCAGTGGGAGTAGAAGTTAAGCACTTGCAAATTATAATGCCCACTTCTGCTTTAGACGTGAGAATTGCATCAAGGATTAACCTCATCATCGTATCTTTCATGTGGTTCTGTCCATCTTTATTATTCAAACTTTCCATTAGCTGCAATAACAACCTACCCAGCCAAGCAAATGGAAATCAATACTTAAAAGTTGCTCTCACTTTTCAAAGTGCAGAAAAAGCTGAAAGAAAGGCAAGAAGCCTCTTAAGGTTAGAAATGGATTGAGAGGTAAAACAGGTTAGAAAAGAGCCCTCAACAACAGAAATATGGAAGAGAAAATGGAGTGGGGAGATTTCAACAGGGTAAGGATTGGTAAAGCTTTTAATTTTTAGTACTGTGTTTCATAATCATTTGAGTAGTTTTAGGATTTACCTTTAAAGCTATATTGATGTTTGTATCATTCAGTCAAAATATTTTGATGCTAAAAATCTGTATTATGAATAAAATTTACCAATCTATAAAAGATTTGCTGTAAAGAATAGTCCAGCCATCAAGCAGCTTCCGACTTCTGCATCAGGCTTAAATTGTTTGCCAGTCGGCTGCCCAGCCTAAAGTCACAAATAAATTTTTGAAACACATAAGACTTGCTCGACAAAAGACCAAGATCTATCCAGTTCGCCTTTCATCATCCTGGCAGTTGCATGCATATGTTATGTCCCAAACTATATACCAGTTTAACAAAAGTTAGAATAAAAGGAACCTTGCATTTGATATTGTTTTCCAGGTGGTAATGTAATCACATCATCTAAAATCTTAATGCCTTGTTTAAATTACAGATTTACAATAGAGCTGTAATTACACTACAATTACATTTCTTATGCAATTACCTGAAAGCCATTGTTCATTAAAGTCCCATTAAATGCATACTTCACAATTGTGCACCTTAATATGAAGAGAGTTACCTGCAAAGTTGTGGGTTTTTTTTTTGCTTTTTGTTCCACTTTGCACTGTCATAACTTTATTATGACTAATACAAAAATGTATGAATAAAATAAAAAGATTAAAAAATAAAGATATTTCAAACTAATGATTGTTTTGGGGTTCTGATTTTAAATAGATCACAAGGTGCTGCTGGTAAAGGTTTTGTCGCCAGAAGAAAATTAACATTTTTCAAAATCACAATTCCCTAAATTGACTCAACAATATTTTTTAGGGAGGTGGGAGGGGGGGATGTGGCAAATATACAAGGTGCTTATTTTCCATTGAAATTTTTGGCAGTACAGTTGGAAAGTTAAGTAGGGAAATAGAATATTAACGAGGTTGACCTGAAGCTATTTAATATAAATGCCAACATTTAATTCTAATAGACACAAGGGTGTAATTTTTTTAAACGTGCGTCGGAGCTGAAAACAAACAGCAGTCATCAGGATGCTGCCGCCACTTCCTGGTTAGCAGATTACATTTGTATAAGGCCTTTCACGTCAGGAGGACGTCCCAAAACGCTGGACAGTGTACAGCATTTTAGAGAGTGAGAGTGCTACCAACTGCGCCAACTACAGGTTGACACCATAGTCCTACGGGCGCCTTACTTTTCAGTCAAAATCAGGGTATCCAGATTCCTGGCTTATTCTAAGGTTTGAAGTCTCTGAAGCAACAACAAGATTACATTTGTATAGCGCCTTTCATGTTGGGAGGATGTCCCAAGGCGCTAGTTAGTGGACAGCATTTCAGACCCAATGTGGGGTAAGGGGGGAGAAGGGAGGAAGGGAAAGGGGGGTGGTCGATGGCATGGTCGAAGAGGTGATTCTTTAGGCGGGACTTGAAGGAGGCTAAGAAGGGGGCGAGGCGGAGTGAGTGGGATTCCAGGTTGGGGGCAGAGTGGCTGAAGGCTCTCCCGCTAATGGTGGGGTGTATGGGTCGGGGGACGTGGAGCAAACCAGAGCCGGCTGAGCGGAGGGAGCGGGCGGGGGTTAGGTAGGGGGTTAGGAGGTTGCAGAGATACTGTGT